TTTCATAATCATGAAACACAGCTATTGCAAGCATTACCCTGATAGACTTTATCTTCGTAACTAGTGAGAAGGTCTCAGCATAGTCAACTCCAAGAGTTTGAGTAAAGCCCTTCGCAACCAATCACGCTTTATAAGTGTGCACATTCCCATCCATGTCTGTCTTCTTCTTGAAGATCCACTTGCACCCGATTGTCTTACGACTCGGTACATTTTCAAACAAATTCCAAAATTGGTTGTCGTATATGGACTGAATCTCGCTGTCCATCGCCTCTTTCCATTTGGCAGACTCCAGGCCTGCCATGGCTTCCTTATAGCTGCTAGGTTAGTCCAAATTTATTAGTGTTTCATCACTAATAAACGTATCCCCTTCAGTAGTAATATGAAAACCATAAAACTGGGATTGAACACTAACCCTACTGGAACGTCTAAGAGGTAAGGACTCGTCAACGGGTTCAGCTGGAGTTTCTTCCTTGGGTTGAGTGCCAGTGTTAGAGGTTCCTTCATCGCTTTGATCTTGAATCTCTTCAAGATCAATTTGCCTCCCACTTTCCTCTTGACTTATCAGTTCCCTTTCTCGGAAAACTCCTCTTCTAGCAACGAAGACAACATTGTCACTCGGTCTATAGAAGAGTTAGCCAAAAGACTTCTGTGGGTAGCTGATGAAATAACACTTCTCACTACGAGGCTCGAGCTTGTCGTGAGTCTCTCGTCTTACGAAAGCCTTGCAACCCCAAACCTTGATATGTGCCAATGATGGAGCTTTCCCTGTCCATAACTCGTAAGGTGTCTTAGTAATCTTCTTGGTGGGAACTAAGTTAAAGATATGGGTGGCAGTCTCTAAGGCATACCCCCAGAAAGCTATTGGTAACGAAGCCCGACTCATCATGGAACAATCCATGTCCAACAAGGTCCGATTACGTCTCTCAGCCACACCATTCAATTGTGGCGTTCTCGGAGGCGTCAATTGTAAAACCATTCCGCATTCCTTTAGATAGTCGTGAAACTCAAGACTTAGGTACTCTCCTCGACCTCGGTCTGACCGAAACATCTTGTTTTTCCTGCGCAGCTGATTCTCCACTTTATTCTTGAACTGTTTGAACTTTTCAAAGGTTTCTGACTTATGCTTGATTAAGTAGATATATCCATATCTGCTATAATCATCTGTCAAAGTCACGTAGAAGAGGAAGACATCCCTTGTGGTGGATCTAAAGGTCCCACACACATCGGTGTGTGTGAGATCCAATAGACCCTCACCCCTTTCACAAGTGCCAGTAAAGGGTGACTTGGTCATCTTCCCAAGTAGACAAGATTCACACACGTCTTCGCCCTAAGGTCCAATGACTCCAACACTCCATCCTTTTGGAGTTGGGCTATGCGTTTCTTGTTAACATGGCCAAGGCGACAATGCCACAAGCATGCTTTGTCTAGACTATTAGACGAATCAATATTCAAGACATCATTTCCTAAATTATCAACAACCAACATAGATTCATAAATCCCATTACAAGGTAATGCATTGAAATAAAAGACACCATTCAAATAAACATTAATAGAACCATTATTATTATCAAATGAGTACTTGAAACCTTGTCTAAACAATCCATGAAATGAAATGATGTTCCTTGCCATATCTGGCGAATAACAACAATTATTTAAATATAACCCTAATCCATTACTCAACACTAAAGAATAAACTCCGCTAGCTTCTGCAGGTAAGTTTTTTCTTTTATTTTTTCCTTTGAAAATCAAGTTCAATAAGTTTTTTTTCCCTGAAAATCGACTATTAGATGCCCATATGTTGTTATTTATTTATTTTTTCTTTTCTTTTTATAAATTCATCACATATTACTATGATCTCTTGCAGATCCACAACTTTTTTTACCAATTCTCTAAATCTCTCTATGTCATTATCTAATTTTGTATCTCTGTATTTTCTCATCCCTCTACATTTTACTTTTCTTATTCTTTGTATCTCTTCTCTTAATCTATCTTTATCTTCTCATTTTCTACATCTTTTTTCATTTTCTCTATCTCTATCTCTTTTCGTTATATTTATATCTATCTCTTCTCATTATCTCTCTATATTTTCTCATTCTCTTTATCTCTTCTCATAATCTCCTTATCACTTCTCATTCTCTCCATCTCTTTTCAAATTTCTATACATCATTATCTCTTCTCATTATCTCTCTATTTCTAAGTCTTCTCATTCTCTCTAGATCTCCATTTCTATAATCACATATTATCTTATCCTAAAGTAATCATATATCTCTATTCCTAAAGGAATCACATATCTTTATTCCCGAAGGAATCAATTTTCTACATTACTAACCGAATCATCTTTCTACCTTCTCATACTCTTTCATAACACCTGACACATAACATTCTATCACATCATTTCATTAAGAAATCTTATACCATCAATCAATCATTTAATTTATTAAGCACTTAAATTAAGCATCCATCTAGTAAATTCTGGGTATTTAACATAATATCATTAACATCTAACCATGCACACATATTCATTCATAAGATTATAATTTGTATAATCAAAATCTAATGAGAATTATAACCTACCTTGATAGTTACTAAAAACTAACTACTATTGGCTCCAAATCTTCAATTGATGCTCTTGATCCATTTGCTTTACCCAAGGCCTGTTCAAACAACGTAGCAAGTTCCTTATAACTTGTCTTAACTCATTAAGAGCTTAATTACTATTTATATAAAAAATGATTACTTATTTGATCATAATTTGACATCTCGACTTTCTATCTCAAAATCAATCATGCATGAAGAAGTAAGCTCATATATAACTTAATTCATTAAGCTCTAAACTCAATTCTATCATATCATCACTTTCACTAGTTAGGGTTTGAAACCTTAACTATCTATAAATGGATTTCACTATGGAAATCATATTCAAAGCTTGCCTAAAGCTTATAAACACTCTCAATAACATACAGATAGAACTATAGGTCGATTAACTCAAGCATTCTAATTAATCTAACAATTTCACAATTGAAGCTCAAACCTTCACTAAAGAGAGAAATCATTGCCTTAAGACAAAAGGATGTTAATCATTGCAACCCTCCATCTTTATCTCATCTTGGCATCAAAATTGTCCTATCTCATCTCTCTTTTGAATTTGGGGAGAAATGGTTTGAATATGAACCCTTAACAGGTTTAAACCTGTTTCCTGACTGTGAAACCACGTCGTGACAACCAGGCCAGTACGCAACGGTACCTCTAAGTGTGTTGTGGTCTCCCTTTAGCTGAGCTGCGATGCCTTTCCATTATAACATTCTACTTTTACTTTCGCACCGTGCTAAGCATCTAACACGTCTTCAAAGTACGTTGCCGTCTACTTACAATGATACTCTCTTCATTTTTACTGCTTCACAAACTGTATCGTGTCAAGGGCCTTACCGCTTTATGGTTTATGCACATCATTGGACTTCTTTGTTGAATTCTTTATAACTTTGAGCAATTTTCATTCTAACTTCAAAAACTCATAACTTTTTCGTTTTAAACCCGTTTTCAGTGATCTTGATATCCACACGAAGGTGAGAATGAGTTCCATAATACCATTAAGTCACTTCGGACTTAATACTTATAGGTCCTAATCCATTATATCACAAACTTGACAATAAAAAGCATAAAATTCCCATTTTATGCTTTATAGCCTAAATGCATAATTTATTGCCTTTCTTCTCTTGAACCCATTTATCACATCTCATAAAAGTGACTTAGACATATCTAGACTAGTTTCATGAAGATACATATTCTCAATTCATGAAATTCATATAAATGATCAAATTATTTTTTTAGTAAAGAAACTCTCTCAAAGTCAATTCTTTCTAAATTTATGGTTAATCCGAATATGAATATAATTTTATAATTTTTAATAATTTAAAAGTATAAATATTATCAATCAATGATGTTATTTGGAATTTCGGAGGCCCAAATTAAATCCCTCACACCGATTCATCTGAATATGAATGTAAATTTACATTATAATGAATACTCAAAATTAGAATGGATTAGAGATATGAATTATGTGTTCCCTCGTGTTAACTCTACCAAACCAATTTTGATTGATTGTTTTACACATGTTAATATAAGACGTGTTTGATTTCAGCGTAAACTTATTTTGTGAAACCCCAAGGCAAATTTCTAATGGCAAATTTATATAAAAACTAAAAAGGCACAAAACCGCTTTAGTATTTTGATATATATATATATATATATATATATATATATATATATATATATATATATATATATATATATATATATATATATATATATATCAGGTTTATTTGAGACCATTCTAATTTTGTAAGACCGTGAGATCAAATCTAAAAATAATTTTAAAATGCAAAATAAATGGAAAAATCCAAAAATTCTTTTAAATATTATTTTCAGAACTTGAATTAACTAAAAAAAATAAAAAAAAATATATTTTTTTTTGAAAAATAAGTGAAATATTCTAATAGAATATTACACTGACATATTCTAAAAAATAAAATTAAAATGCAGAATAAATGGAAAAATTTAAAAATTCTTTTTTTAAATATTATTTTCGGAACTTAAATTAACTAAAAAAAAATAAAAAAATAAAAATAAAATGCATCTCACGATCTCACAAAATTAAGCCGTCTCACATGAACCTAATCCTATATATATATATATATATATATATATATATATATATATATATATATATAAAGAAATTATCGATATATTATTTTAAATCTATTTTTTTAAATGTACAAATTCTTCGTGCTAAGAACTTGATAAATAACACTTATAAGACATTATTTTTTCTAATAGTGATTTGTAAAAAAATATGTCGAAACCAAATATTAAAAAGAAAAATTGAAAAGGGTTGTTTTGGTTTGATCCAAAAGCCCCAAAGTAAATCATTAGGCCCAAAGACCACCCAACTACCGATAAAATGATGAAAAACGGTAAGTTGTGGGCATCAGAATGAAGGGGGCATGAAATTTAGTCGAGCTCTTATGTGTTATGGGCATATTAAATTAATTTTCGGCACAAATACAAAAATTGATCTAGGGCATGAGGCATTCGGCGCATTGAAGTGTAGTAGAAGGCGGCAAAACGCAGCTCAACAATCATGCCAAAAAAAATCAGAAAATGAAGAGTCGATCGCGCGGAATAATCAAGCCTAAATAAGAAATCGATTGAAGCAACGGTGAGTTTTTTTTTTTAAGAATCTACTTTTTTTTTTATTTTTTTTTATTTTTTTTTTTATCTTTTTTCTTTCATTATTTAAAGTTTAAATCAAAATCTATAATTCCTAAACTCTGAAATCTGAAATGCTGCATCCGAAATAGTAACCTTTGCGTTTTGATTCTTTTTCTTTCGAGAATTCTGAATGCATATTTGTGAAATGGATTTGTGTGGTTTGCCTTAGTTTGTGGAATCCCTGTAAATTTTATGATTTTTGCATTTTTATAAATAGAGCCTAAACTGGACGGTTTTGCCCTTAATTTGAGTTTGCCTGTGCATTTTCTCTTGAGCTGCTGATGTGTAACATACTTTTTGTCCCTGAAGATGGTAATTGAAATTTCAAGTGGAGTTGGATGTTGTTTGAACTAGATAAAGTTTCTTTTGCAAGGTTCTTACAAGTGAACTATTTTCAAATTGGCCTTATTCCTGTAGCTGATAATTCTAAATCACAGGCTTTGTAATATTTTACTATTAATTTCTTCAATGTTATCATTATTAGAAGATCAGTATATTATAAACTTTTGTACAAAATTGCAAGTATTTTACTTTCTACATACTAATTTTGTGCAAATTGGTCTCAATATCTTATATTTTTCAAAATACGATGTCTTAATAAGGAAAAGGTTGGAAGTACAATGTTGTAATTGAAAGAAATGTACAAAATCTTTTTCCCTTTTCAGATTTTAATTTCTTGGATGTGTTGATTACAGGTTGACATGGCGAATAGCAAGTATGAGTATGTAAAATCTTTTGAAATTGAAGATGAAGTGATGTATCCCAACTTAGTTGTAGTTCGAATTGATGGGTGCAATTTTGAAAGGTAAACTTACAACAATCCATAATTCTATATTTAATTCATCATCATCATCATCATCATCATAACCTTGTACTAAATTTGTCAGATTTTCTGAAATTAATGAGTTTGAAAAACCAAACGATGAAAAAGCTTTAAATTTGATGAACTCTTGTGCAACCTCAGTGCTTGAGAAGTATCCAGATATAATCTTGGCTTATGGTTTTAGTGATGAGTACAGGTGAGAATTTCATTCTCAATATTATTATTATTATTATCATTGTTATTTTATATGAATCTTTAGTTATAGTTTTCTAATGTGAATTGCAGCTTCATTTTCAAGAAGGAAACCAAGTTTTACCAAAGGCGTGCTAGGTGATAATTTAGAATAATGATGAGTTTTCTTAAAGTTTGAAATCATGATTTGCAATCTTATAAATAATGTATCATTGGGTTAACAGTGAAGTTGACACTGCAGCAAGATTCTTTCCCTCATTGTCTCATTCTTCACATCTTTATATGTGGAAAAATGGAGGGAATTCTTTCCTCAAAAGAACATGAAATCTACTCCTTCATTCAAATCACGTGTCATATGCTGTCCATCAATGGAGGTTCTTCAATCATATCTTGCATGGAGACAAAGAGAATGTGAGTAGATTACATATATATTTTGCTAATATGCTATTAAATGATGTACATTTTATAAAAATCAGGTTACATATTTCTATTATGTTGCTATTATGTTAATAGATGAAGGGTAATTTATAAGTTACATGTTACATATTGTTATTATTAGTAAAAAATAGTGCCAAATATTTTTCTAGTATGATTTTTTTTTAAAAAAGAAAACAATCTTTCTTGTATTTTTTTTGTGTAGGTCATAGCAAAAACCAATACAACACTTGCCTTTGGATGTTGATTAAAAGTGGGAAATCAGAAAGAGAAGCACATGAAATCTTGAAGGTGTGTATTATATTTCTATATCCTTCATGTCATTTTTTATATTCTAAATTGTTTATTATATTTATAGGGCACAAAAAAACAAGAAAAAAACGAGATCCTTTTCCAACAATTTGGTATCAACTACAAAAATCTTCCACAAATGTATCGACAGGGCTCTTGTGTTCTCAAGACAGAGGTTGGTTGTTATATCTCATAATTGTTATTTCCATTTATATATTATTATTATTATTATTATTATTTAGTTAATAGTTATTCCTTGAGTATTTATTCACTTGAGTATTCATTTAATAAAGAACTAATTATAGTTCTCATGTAGGTTGAGGATACCTTAAAGATCCATGACAATGAACCCCCTGTCACAAGATTGCAGAAGAAGGTCATAATCGTCCATTCAGAAAATATAGCTTCTAGAACCTTCTGGAATGATTACTCCTGTCTTTGCAAAGATCTAAGTGGCTTTGAACAAAATGTGAATAATATCAAACAAGAGTACATGAAATTGTTTCAGTTTGAGAACAAGTTGCTCCCATTTACTTGGATTGTAATCAGAATAGATGGCTCTCATTTCCACAGGTAAATTAATAAATAATAAAAAAAAATTTAATTCAATTTTTTAATTTTCTATTTGGTTTCTTATTATTATTTTTCATTAGATTTTCTGAGGTTCATGGATTCGAGAAGCCTAATGATGAGCAAGCTTTGAAACTTATGAACTCATCTGCAGTTGCTGTTTTAGAGGAGTTTAAAGACATTGTTTTTGCATATGGAGTAAGTGATGAATACAGGTAATTTTGTTAATTTGTTTTTATTATATTATTTTATTACAATTAACATATTTATTTTCAGCTTTATCTTAAAGAGAAATACTCAACTGTATCAAAGACGCCCGAGGTAAGTCCTAAAGTTTATAATTCTTTTTTTTTTTTTGGTAATTACATCAAAATAAGGAAAAGAAAAATTGAAAAATACCGTTTTTGTCCTTGCAGTGAAATGGTGTCTGCAATTGTGTCATTCTTTTCTTCAACATATGTGATGAATTGGAAAGAATATTTCCCTAAAAAAGAGTTGAAATTTCCACCAAATTTTGATGGAAGAGGTGTTTGCTATCCATCATATGAAATTATTCGAGATTATCTTGCTTGGAGACAAGTTGACTGTGAGTAAATTTTTGTATATTTTTTTTTTTTATTTTTTTATATATAATTAACAAAAAGATAAATAATACTATTTTACATTTGTGTGAATTTTTAATTTTGTTTTAATTGCTTTAGGCCACATAAACAATCAGTACAATACTTGCTTTTGGATGCTTGTCAAGTCTGGAAAAACCACAAAGGAAGCTCAAAGTCTCTTAAAGGTCACAACTTTTCTTATAATTGTCTCAAAAACACCAATTTACACACTTAGTTACATTAAAAGGTAATCCCTGTTCCTTTTTTACAATTTTGACCCAAGATTTATATTTTGTTCCGAATTAGGTCCAAACTTTTTTTACAATTTGTTTTTACATGTTCTTTGAACTTCGCTTTTTACAATTTTTTTTTTACTTCTTTTGTAGCTTTTTTTTTTTCCCAATGTCCTCTTACATATATTTCTTTTCGCATGTTTTTCTAAGATATTTTCGTTTTTATAATATAGTGTTTCTTTGCAAATTTGTTTTCTGACTTTTTTTTTTTTTTTTTTTTTTTTTTTTTTTTTTTTTTTTTTTTTTTACAGATTTGTTTTAATGCATGTATGGTTGTGTCAAACTCATTTTTGGACATTTGTTTTTACATATTTGTTAAAAAAAAACCTAAGTTGTAAAAGAAGTTGGGACAAAAGGGTGTAAAAAAGTAAATTGGTGTTTTTAAACATCAAGTGTTTATTTATTTATTTATAATTTTAAATGTGAATGTTTGTTGTAAACAGGGTACTCAAACACAAGAGAAGAATCAAATGCTCTTAAATCTATTCAATATTGATTACAAGACATTACCCATCATATTTCGCAATGGCTCCTCTGTATTTTGGGACAAGGTCATCTCTCTCTCTCTCTCTCTCTCTCTCTCTATATATATATATATATATATATATATATATATATATACATTTTGAAGTATGTTATTGGTTTGACTTTTAATTTGGTGATTAATTTTATACAGGAGATGATGTTGACAGATAATGGAGTGATTACAAAATCCTACAAGAAAGTGGTAGTGGAACATCCCAACATAATTGAAGATTGCTTTTGGGAAACACACCCGCTCATACTTCAAGAGATGTCCCCAAGATCATGAATCCTTTTTTTTTTCTCACACCAGTTTGTGGCTAGGTTTTGGATCCTTTATATTTATTTATTTATTTCAAGTTAAAGTCTGTTCGAGAATTGGAATCCTTGTATTTTTGTATAAGGTTTAATGACATTTATTACTAGAACAAAAATACTAATACAATTTATGTCAAGTTAGAGGAGTCGGGAAAATAGAGTTACTTGTACTTATGAGCATCCTAATGGTCCAACAAGTGGTTTCAACGGAAGATATTAATGTTCATATAAGAAGAGAAATAAATGGTATGTGGGTATGTATGATGGTTTTGGTTTTCTTACTTGGGACGATGATGGGCATTATGCTTTTGAGTATGTTATTTTGCACACGATTGATGGTCTCAAACTCTTTAAAAAAGAAGAATGTGCATTTGATTACCTTTCAAAGTGTAGCATTTCACCCAAGCTGACTACCTTTTTGTGTGTAAATGAAGCATTAACACATTCATAGATTGCACGGTGACAATGCTATTAGGAGAGGCATCCACATCACGAATCCAAATGTTTTTCTCGAACTTATGCTTAAGTATGAGTGTAAACTAGCTATATCAATCATTTGTTTGGATAACTTAAGGGTGCTACTTATGAGGATTTTATAGATATGGTTGTTTTAGACGTGGATTTTGGATCCATTCATATGAGGAATGTTAATCACATGTGAAACAGTGTGGTCAAAATCACTAGGGAGGTTGCCAAAAAACACTTGAGATGCCGACCGGGAAGACCAATGAGCGTGAAGTGTCATGAAAGTGCATAAAGGAGTTTCAAGCTAAGGTCAAGATAAAATAAAATCAATTTAAGGTGTTTTTATTAAGTGATGAGAACGGGGAAATAACCGATAAAGATATAATGATACCAAACGAGAGGCTAAGAATGTAATGGATAAAACAAGATCTACGACATATGAAGAGATGTACTAAAAATTAGAACAGTGAGTCGGTAAAATTGGAACATGTAAAAACATATTTGAAACATCTATTGATGACTTATCAGATGAGAATGCACTCTGTGCGTCTACTATATCAGTTGGAGAGGGATTTCAACAACCGGGTGCCTCATCAGCCTGTGAAGGAGATCCAACTTTGATGAATTCAATAGGTTACATGTGGTTAATTTTTAAATATCATTAGTAATCTTTTTACATAAGTAATTGTGTATTTTTGTTGTTGTCACATATATCTTTAGGGTATGATAATTTAGGAACAACTGTACGGTCAGCTAGAGGCAATATTTGGAAGGCTTCAACTTCATCATGTCAAAAATAAAAAAACCAAAACCTCAAAATTGATGTATAACCTAAGCAGGTTTTATTCGCTTTTAAGGTAAAATAAAATTTATACTAATTATATCTTTTTTACGTTTTATGTTTTTAAAAAGAGATAAACATTTTATGTTTGCTAACATGATAAATGTTTGCTACTTTACACTCTCAATGCATGAAATCCGGTAATTGATCTTCATCTCCCATAGAATCAACAATTAAATAACAATAAACCAGGAAACAACATCATCTTAAAACTTGAATTGTTCTATGTAACTCAACACATCTTATATAACTGCTTCCTCTTAGGTTCAAGTTTTGTCTTCGAGTTAGGCTATTCCAAAGATGAATTTGAACTGCTCTCAAAATCCTCATGTGCTTCTCATTCGCTTCTCTTGGTGACTTTTTACTTTTAGGTTTTTGGTTTCTTAGGTGCTGTTTGTTTTTTCTGAGGCAAAATGTCTGCAGTCTGCGGACCACATCTGTAGACCTCTGCAGTAGAAGAGGTGGACCAAACGTCTGCAGTCTGAAAAAAGAAGACTGTTTGTTTTTTTAACATCTGCGGGCTATTAAAATAAACTGAAATCTAAATAAACTGATTTTTTAAAACTTCAAAGCGAATTTTTTATATATTTTTACGACTTTCTTATAAATATATAACGAATCTAGATCAACTTTTATGTATTATTATATAAAAAATAAAAATAAAAATGGTATTAATTCATATACATATTTGATAAAAACCAACAACTTTGATTGTAAAGGTATAACTAAACATTATAATTAGTGATCAAAGAATTTGATACATAAATAGATGGAAATAAACTTCGATTTTTTCAAATAAATCTATTAAAAACGTACGATAAATATTTTCTCGAGAAATTGATGATACTCTATTAAATAAAGTTTTACAAAATTTTGGCAAAAAAATATAAGAATATATTATGATTTTTTTTTTTTCATATTTATATAAACAACTTCAACGACTATTATTATAATAAATTTTTATTTATAAATTTGTTAAAAATATCATGTTTGTATCGTCAAATGTTTTTTTTTAAGTTTTGTAATTTTTTTTCATATTGTTTATCATTAATAAAGTTGGAAAAAATATAAATTAAAAAAAAAACTTAAAAAAAATAAAGATATATATGTTTTTTTAAGCTAGAAGATGTCTGAAGATGTTAGAAGACTCTGGTCCACATCTGCGCCAAGAAGAGGGCGCGCAGACATTTTTAGGTCTGCAGTCTTCAAAAAAACAAACAGTCTGCGAAGACTAATGTCTGCGCGGCGCAGACAGAAGACATCTCGCAGATCTGCAGACAAAAAACAAACACTACCTTAGAGTTGGTATCTTGATTCCACTTCCATGCCCCCCCCCCCCCCCCCCCCCCTTTTTATTTTTTTTTTATCTCATTAAATCCAAGATTCATTCAAGTTCCAAATCGGAATAAACACAATTGGGAGCTTTTATTAGTTCAATTTTGGATGTGTTTTTTTTGAAGTTTATGCAAAACCTCGAAAAAAAGAAGTTTATCAGGAAGATGTTACATATGAAATTTGAAGATGATTACTGATATTTTCCTTTTCATCATATCTAATTTCCCTGGTTCGCCTCTTTGGTCTTCTTCTTTTTGCCTCTTCCTGGTACTTTATTTATTTTCCTTCTTCTTTTCGTTTGAGACAACCTTTTTTTTTTTTTTTTTATAATTTTTTATAATTATGATTTTAACAAAATCAGACTCCTGATTTTCTCAGCGGCTAACTCATATTTTTTCTGAAGATAACATCAAAGCTTTCAGTATTTTAGGTGAGGGAATCATCACGACAATTATTTATTCATATATTGACCTTTTATCATGTTTGATTTCCTTCGTCATAAACGACTTGCTTTTATGATTTAATGAACTTGATGTAAACTATTTTCCTGTTTATTTTTTGTTATTTGCAAGTTGTATATGGGTTTGACTATGGTTGTTCCTAATGTGGTTTAATGAAATATTAGAGCCGACAATATCATAAGTCGCAGTTGTAACAAGCACGAGAATCAATGGTTCCAAAAAAAAAAAGTGTATTGAATCCCTTCCTCAAATTTCCGTTAGCCCACTTCCACAACATATGATCATGGAAATTATAGAAATTTGACAAAGTTGTAGTCTAAAATAACAAAATATTGTTAGGGGAATTTTAGTAATTTACATAATGTTTCAATCTAAATTTCTGAAGTATGGTTAGGGGCATTTTAGTGATTCAATCTAAACTTTCAAAGTATGAATAGTTTTGCAAGATTTTTAACAACTTATAAAAATATGATTCAGGGCATTTTAATTATTTGGTTACGTTTCAGTCTAAAGACTAAAAATAGAAAACATGATTAGGGGCAGTTTCAGTCTAATCTTACATGTGATGCTTTAAAAAATTCAGTCTGAATAGGTTTTGGTTAACAAATTGTATTTGTATGAGCATAGGCGGATCCAAGGGGATCCCGGGGTAGCCCGGGATACCCCTCAAAAAAATTTCGGTAGTGTAATTTCTGTTTATGAATCTTTTAATTTTTAGATATAATGTATATATACGCATCCCTTTAGTTATAACACAAAACAAATAGTAGAGCTACTGATTAAGGTGTTGGTTTATTGAAGTAAAGCTCTCAGGTTCAATTATTTCTTATTACATATCCTTTTTCTATTTTTTTTTTATTTTCCCAGTTATTCTATCCCACATCGTCAAACATATGTAAACTCAACCATTTTTGTCTATTATATAAGCCTGCTATTATCATACTTCATTTGATGTCTACTTTGAATCTCACATCGATTCAAGTATCAAAATATACTTCAACTTCATGTTTATAAAATAAGAGTTGAGGTTATCTAAAGATTCGATTAAGGTTTGAGTTTAACACCGAAACGGAACTGGGGAAAGCCAAGTACCCTGGGAAAAAAATTGGATTACCCGAAATATAAAATTAGGATACCCCTTTACTTTGGTCCTGGCTCCGTCACTGTGTATGAGTCAGTTGTTGTTGATTCAAACACAAAGGGAGCTCCTTGAACGGCAACATTCCAGCCAGCTTTTCAAGTAATTCCTCACAACCCTATTATTCTGTATCTTATTTATAGTTCAATTGTTTTTCCATCAATTGAGAACACTATGAAGAAAGATAAAAAAATGTTTCATTGTTATGTTTCTCTCAAAACTAAAAAAAATATATGTTATGACGTTATGTTTTGTAAGTAGAATTTTTAATCGCATCATGTCTTTTTGTCATCAAATTATATGTAATACAACATATTTACAACGGGTGTACATTTAACTTGGCAACTGAGATTTTATAGACAAATATATTGGTTACTTAAAGTAAAAGTTAAAATATGGGTTTCTATATATCTTTATTATTATGTTATTGATTAATTCAAAACTTGCAGGCTCTGGAAATTGTTTTTTAGTTATGTGTCTATAACCTCTTCTCCTTATGTATGATGTCCCCATTTTATCTACAAAA